GGAAGGGGTTCAAGAGGGACCGGGCGATGCCTCTGGGTGCAGAGGGGTGCCTTTGAATTAAAAGTTGGCAGCGGGGTCGCGACTGCTGGGAGGCAGCGGCGCCGGGTGCCCCCCCCTGTCAGGAACCGCATCCACTCGCAGCATCCCACCCTGCGCTGTTCGCACGCCAGGGCCTCCCCCCAAACACACACGCATACAAATACACGCCCTCCGTATGTGTGCCTCAAAACACACACACACACACACACACACACACACGCGCGCGCGCGCGCTCACTCACGCGCTCTCCGACAGATGCACACACAATAGTGCAACCGCGCCCCCCTGGTCGCCCCCCCCCCTACCCGCGTGGCTGCGTGCCGTCTCCAGCCCGGCGTCGACGTCGTCCTTGCGCAGCTCGTACACCTTGGGCAGGATGAACGCCAACAGCACGGCTGGGGGGGGGGGGGGTGTTGGGCGAGCGTGCGCATGTGAGCATGAGTGTGTGTGTGTGTGTGTGTGTGTGTGTGTGTGTGTGTGTGTGTGTGTGTGCAGGTGCGTGCGTGCGTGCGTGCGTGCGCGTGTGTGTGTGTACGTGTGTGCGTGCGTGCGTGCATGTATGTGTGTGTGTCGGGGGGGGGGGGGGGAGAAGGTCCGGGCGGGGCATGCGAGAGGATCGCATGTGCAGGGCTGCGGGATCAGGGAGGGGGCTCTTGGGGCGGCACAGGGAACCTCCCCCGGGGTGCCACACCGCGCGAACAGGCAGGGGCGTCCGCCAAGCCTACGGGGCGCGAGGCAGGGCGTGCGTGGTGCGCGCGCATGCCCGCGGCGGCGCCCACCGGTGAAGAGGAGGCCCACGGGGCTGGCCAGGCGGCCGAGCCAGCCGATGACAAACAGCGCCGCGGCCGCCTTGAGCGTTAGCAGCGGCTCCTCGCCCGTCGCTATGCGCCGCACCACGGCTGCGAGGTCAGGGAGTGGGGGCCGACGTTAGCCGTGGCCGAGCAGACCACTGTGGCGACCCTGGAACGCCAGACGTGCGTGCTGTCGCAAGCTGCGTCCCACCGCCGCCCGCGTGCTCTGCGGCACGGCGCTCCCCAGGGCGGGCCGTGCTGCTGTCTGCCTCACCGAGGGCCTTGTTGAGGTTTACGCGCAGCTTCTCAGCCAGCTGCTTGGCAGCTACCTCGTCCACGCCCGTCTTGAGCACGGCGGGCAGCTTGTCCGCAGGCCCGGGGCTGTGGCGCGGCGGCGACGCATGTGGGTGTGTGTGTGGATGTGTGCTTGTGTGCTACTGTGAAGGGACTGAGTCCGGCTGGAACGCTCAGAAAGGCAGCATTGAAACTGCACGCCCAGCCATCATAACGAAGTACCATGGCATCAGCTTGAGCAGAGGCGCCTCCACTCCGGATCCATAAACGGTCCACAGCAAACGGGGCAAGCGTGCGGGGGGCGGGGCGCCTGGGGGTCTCACAAGCCGAGGGGGCGCGAGGCGACGGCCCAGACGAGGGCGACCAGGCTGGCGACGAGGCCCGCGTTGGAAATGGTGGTCAGCAGGGGAATGCCGCTCCACTGGGGGGGCAGGGGGGTGGGCGGCAGACACGCGGCTGACGGGGGCAGGGGCTGCACCCAGGTGCGGGGCCGACGGCAACGGGAGACAGTGCAACCTGCAGCGATGATTGTGCGCTTCTGCGCTGTGCCCGGTGCGCCGTGCCCTCAGCAGCACGTGCTTGATGGCACAGGATGGGATATGGTTGGGCGCATGCACCTGCAGCAGGGCCAAACGCAGGTCTTGGCAATCCATGGGCAATCACGAGCGCCCCACCTCGAGCAGCAGGTACAGCGCCGTGATAACGCCGAGGGCCGCCGCGCTCTTGGGGATGTCCCGCCAGAGCAGCAGGTCCTCAACTGTGGGACGGCATGACAGCGCGTGTGCGGGTTGGCGTCGGGAAGCCAAGCACAGACGAAGCGGCGCGATCGTCCTCATGGTTGCGGCGCGGGTTCACGCGCGTAGTCGTAAACAGGGATCGGCCTTTTGATTGCCCACGCACGCGCTCTGAGGGCGCAGCTGTCGCTGAGGTGCATTGGCGGTGCTGTGCCCTCGAAGCAGCAGGCGACCGATCCTCACCCGGCTGCAAGGCCGCTGGGAGCTTGACTGTCTTAGACGCCATTCTGTCGTGCAACACGGAGGCCGGCGAGAGCCCCAACAGCAAGATCACCTCTGCAACGAATCGACAGTGCCAAAGTTGGGCTAATCGACAAAGCAATACCGAGCGTTTTGTGTGCGCGTTAAAAACGCATCGATCACTTGGTGGTGCCCCAGGCACGGCATGCGCACCGAATGTGGGTGCGCAGCTGCGCCTCCCCCAGCGCCATCATCATCGGCACCCGAGTGCGACCCTGCGGCCTGCCGCAGTTCAGCTCAACGCAAGGCAGTGCGGCTCAACGCAGGCAGTGCGGCTCAACCGCAAGGCTGCGTTGAGAGCAGAACGGATTCAGAGGCTCTCCAGTCTTGCCGACAGCACAGTAGTTGTTTGACTGTTGGTCGAGGTCAATCGATCTAGTGTGTGCCAACTGGACGCGGCCTGGTCGCAAGATCGCCACCACGCCGGCCTACGCCCAACATGCAACCCAATAGGTGATAGAAGCTGGCACAACACTGATGAAAACGTACGCATCATCAGAGACCCGCCGAGGGCATGTAAGTCTTGGGTCACAGACTGTGCGTGACATCTCAGTACTGTTCGCTGTGGCACCAACACGGTGCGACCACGATGCGATGCGGGAGGGCAGGTTTGACAGTTGTACCAGCAATCCGGAACAAGCGATCCTTGGACCGGGCGTGGCTCACTGTAAATGTGCACTTGCGCTCTTGACGAAGTTGAGCACGGCCAGCGCTGTTCATGAGGGGGCATCAGGCAGGCCTTGACAAAGGTCCCTGGCAGATCCCCGCCCTTGTGCAGGTTGAATCTGGGATCCAGCCGCCAGACATGATGGGAGCCGTGCACTGCATATGTTGGCAAATTTGCGCAGCGCGTGACGGTACACATGCCGTGGATAAGAGCATGTCGTGACGCGAACGCACCCAATTGCACATTGCGATGATGGCGGAGGTAAATCATCACAGACGCGCAGCTCCAGGAACTCTTGAGTAAGTTGTGCATGATGTTGCGCGGGGACGACGTCAGAAGGCACCCCAGCCTGGTATGTTGCTGCCGATATCAGGCAGCGTCCGCTCGTACGGGTGTACCGACCCGGTGACCGTTGCTTCACGTTGCATATAACCAGAAGCTGTGCCTTCAAGATCTGAGTCATGTTATCATGTGTGCAGTAACACGAGGCGCTTGCAAAGTCTCAAGGCGCCACCCACGTTGCGCTTGTATCACCGTGCGGGGACCATCGCTCAGGGCAGGATGCCCGGCTGCGGGTACAGCCTGCCGCCACTTGCAGCCTGCTGCACCTGCACGTGAGGGGCGGGCTTGGTGCCACCGTCGCCACGGCCGCAGCCGCTGCTACGCCCTCTTCGATGGCAGGTCAACACCAGCAGTGAATCCGCGCTGTCCAATGGACTGGGCTGGGTTGACCACACTTGGTCAACTGACTGCTTATACGGTAAGGCCAGCTGATGGTAGTCGTACTGATTCGCCTTGTGCTCGCAGGTGTAATTACAGACTTTCGATGCGGCTCCGCCGCCTTGACAAGTGATCTGACGTAAACTTGCGGCCACCAGCAGCGTCTCCTTGCAGTCGCAGCATATGGTGGGCAAGAAGAAGAAGGTGCCTGCAAAGGCGCAGGCACCAAGGGGCGGCGGGCAGGGTGCCAAACCCAATCCCTTCGAGCTCAAGGGCACCAAGCGCAAGTTTGATGTGCTGGGTCGTCGCGAAAAGACAGGAAAGAAGAACATCATCCAGTCCCGAGAGGATGCTGTCACCAAGGTGAAACCCGGCCGCCGCCATGGCACGCACGCTTGCCGCCTGCCGCCGCTGTTGCAGACGCGCCGCTCCCGCATGCTCTGGTGCGGTCGCACCCTCGACCTCTCCGCCCACAGCGTTGCACTGCATTACAATCCCACAGCGCAAGAAGACTCTGCTGGTGGAGTACAAGCAGCTGCGCAAGTCCAACACCTTCATCGACCGGCGCTTTGGGGGTGCGCCCTGCTGCGGTAGCAGGGGGGGGGCGCCCGCGCAGTCGCGCGGGTGGCCCAGCCCTTGGACCCGCCCCGTTGGCCCACGAGGGCCGCTACGCACTTGACGCGGCGCCAGCTGCCGCGCTGCTGCGGCTGCACCTCTGTCGGCGCGGCCGATCCGACCGCGTCAGCAGGAGCTCAGCTGCTGTGCTGCTTTGCAATCCGTCATGCCATGACACCCGCAGCCTCCCCACGCGCGACCCACCTCATCCCCCCCCCCACGAGCCTGTCACACTCAACATGCTTCAACACACCCAACACACTGCACCACACTCCCTCCCCCAACTTTGAATCATTTCGAACCAAAGAGGACGACCCCCGCCTGGATGAGGAGGACCGGGCCCTGGCGCGCTTCCAGGCGCAGCGCGTGCGCGAGGCGCGCCGCGAGGCCAAGTTTTCGCTGGCAGACGGCGACGACGGCGGCGGCCTCGATGGTGCGTGCGCGCGTGTGGGACGGGGTGTGGGGTGGGGGATCCAGCCAGCGGCGCGCGCGCAGCGGGGCGCCGGCAGCCCCTTGGTGGCGCGGCTGGGGGGCGAGCAGGGCTCGAGCGCCGCCGCGGCGCCGCTCCTCGCGGCAGCTGCCGGGCCGGCAGCGGCCGTGGCAGGGGCGGCCAGGGCAAGACTGGCCCCGTCCCACC